CTCAAGCGCCTCGGCGATCGCGTCGGGGCCGGTGGAGTGGAGAGGCTGGACGGCAGCGGGAACCTGCGCCAACCCTCCCTCCGTCGTAACAATGAAGTCCAGGTTCCCGAAGCGCACGTGCGCGCCTGGGACCTAGCTGACGTCGTGACTAACCATTCGAGGCCTGATGTGGACATAGAGACACGCAAAAGGCCCCTACCTAGCGCGCCAACTGTCGGTGTTTTCGGACCACCGGCGAGTAAATTTGTATTTGCGCGTCTGGCTCGGACGGTGTGCTCGGAGGACACATCATCTAAAAAGTATTATATTGGTTTGAACGAAAACGTCCCTACGTCTAGTTCAAATTATTTTCGGTCTCATTCGTGTTACCGGCCATTGTGAATTTGGTTTTGACGATGAGATATTACAAATCTATGAGAGAGAGGATCCCAAGTCTCTGGTGAAATGAGTGAACAGTCTTTGAGCTAACTTCGCTTTAACGCTTAGCTTGCTTCGCCAGTGTGTGCTCGTGTCGTGCTCTTGTGTCCAGATCTCCCCCCTTTCATGGGGCGCCCTGCTTCCCCTTTTATAGGCAATGAGAAAGCGCGGGTTACAGAGGAGGAAAAGGAGAAGAACGAGAGAGAAGGCTTCCAGGGTTGCCGGATCCTTCTCCTTCATGAGGGTTCCACCGATCCTGTAGATGTCAATAGGGACGGCTCCATGTCGCGGCCCTGTTCGTCACTAGCGCCATGCGCAGGCATCATCTGCCGATCATAGCATTCCACTCCGTCCTGGCGGACGGCGATCGCGTGGAATCGACGCTACCGCGCGTCCGTCCGAGAGATTAGATTAGATAACAACCCGACACGCCCACACCGTTTTTGATGTAAATCCCGTGTATGGCCTTCATGGCCACGGGTTACATCGAGGCGTGTCGACCTCTTCCACAGCGTCGAGTTTTGACCTGAGCCCATACGCTGGACCAGGTGGTGGTTGATTTAATGCGGTATGGGTCCCTATCGGCGAGATGGAGGAGCACCTGAGGGGTTGTGGCGACCTTGAGCCCAAGACCATGTTGGTAGGCGAGAAGAAGGCGAAGAGGACCTCCAATAAATGAGGTCGGGCGAGACGGAGCCCGCGGCCTTGGTGTCGGGCGAGACCTTTTAATACGTCTCGAGCCATCCGAGAAAGTCAGCGTGGGCGCTAACTTTCTTGCTTTGGGTATCCCTAATATCGATACCCGACACCATGAAGTTCAGAATTTGGTGATTGATGAACATGCAGCAGAATATCGATTGAATGATTGATATTTGGCCAAGGACTATGTATAATTAGAAGGTATGTGTGTATAGACTACAGATAGGTCATGCCATTTGGCTGGTTCTATAATAACTTTACGTACATAATGATTAGCTATAAATGATGACCCATACTATATTTTTGTTATTGCAGTTCACTGTTAGGCTGACTGAATATTGTTTATAGGGATATATATTATTGGATTTGTGACTCTAGGTGGTAACAGGTAAGATTTTAATGAGTTAATCTAGAACCTTTGTATATCTGAGAAAATTTGAATTACTCATTGTTTCTTTAAATTTCAACATTGTCACATCATCTAAAAAGTATGCATCCAACAGTGACAATGGGCAAAAAATGGGAGAAAATGAGTTTATTGAATCACATGGAGAATCCATCTATAATGGTTTGGGTAACCTTATTCATCTCTACTATAATGGACCAATCCAAATTATTTTAGGTCCACCTAAGATTGCGTCCCCCCGTTGAGAGAGTCCAACCATCGTGCACCAATAAAATTACACCTAGAATTTCAACATCATTAAAATCTATGACTCATAATTCTCCCTCACAGGCCTCAAACTCAATCAAACGGCCAGTGTTATCTGGATCATTCCCAGGCTTCAACGCTGTTGCCGCTCACCCTCAGCGGCGGGTGAGCGCGGCCGCGCCCCTACGGCTTCTGGACCTTCGACCGCTTCAACTCGCCAGGCCACCGGCCGTCAGGACCCCTTCGACGACCTCATCACCCGCCACTGGCTCATGCGCCGCCGTTCTTGAACAACACTGTGCGAAGTGCAGCTCGCCGAAGGCTTCTTGGAGATTTCGATCGTCGCCGTCGTCGCCAGAGGGAATTTGGTCAAATTGATTGCGGAATGAGGATAGGGTGTCAATTGCTTTGATGATAGGATGGATTCTGCAGGGAGTTTTGGTGACAATAGCTTGAATCCTTTGGTTTGGGAGTTGCATTTAGACGAATTGTAAGCTCTCGGGCGGTGAAATCTGGCGGCGGGAGCATGTGTTGGTTCTATCTAGGGTTTTATTTATCTTCTTTGTTGTCGTTGGTCGAGAGCTCTGCTGATTTTGATTCAGCCGATGAGCTCAATGACGTCCGGTGATGGGCTCGGGCGGCGAGGAGGTCGTCTACACCAAGCACGCCAAGCGCCAAGTCGGCATGTGCCAGAAGACCGGTGAGCGGCCGCCCCCAATGGCGGCAACGCACCGAGGAGGAGCAGGAGAGACGAGGAGAGAGAGACAAGGAGGCGATCGCAGCAAGAAGAGATGGCGGCAAGCGGCAACTCGTCGGCATCGGTGTCATCGAAAAACCCAGAGAGAAGAGGTACAAAGGGACGCCTACGCTATGCGCTTTTACTTACCCGCCGCCGCCATGGTGTTTCTCCTCGAATAATGTTGAATACACACGACTGACTCGCTGAACTTTTTTTTCCAAGAAGACTGAAGTTTCATTTACCACTACCGAAATCGGATCGTCGGATAGGGCAAGGAAGGTAACAAGGGTGACAACACACAGGAGCCGTTCCGTCTCAGCAGCAAGGTACGAGAGCCTCGTGCTTCAAAACACCTTACGATTGTTCTGGTATGATATGCTGATATGGTTAAAGCAGATAATGCTCTACCTTATCATTTATTAGTAATCCCACTAATTCTTCTTTATAAAAAAATAGTTATTCAAAGATGTGCCTGGATATATCTATAGCATTGTGTGCTACTTGATGTTTTTTGGATTGGACGGGGAGAGAAACACACTATATATCGAGGCATAGATTAAGTTAATCTTGTTGTATTCAACAATATAAGTTTGATCATTTTGGATTAATAAATAATATAATGACCCTGTAAGTTTGTATCGCTCTTTTTTCTGTGAATCTTCAATCTATTTTGTTACATACCATGTTTGGTTGTTAGTTTGCATCACCTAAAATGCCACCATGGCGTTAGCACGGGCAATATACTATGCTATGTGGTGGGGAACGTTTTGTAAATGTTGAGTTCAGACTACTCCTTTTGTTAACTTGAACAGGATGTGAACTCTTCAAAAGTGAAGATTCCTCAAGAAAATGTAGAGGATAGTTCCCACAAGTAACTGAAACAACTCCTAGGGACAGATCTCCCAAGAAGCCTTATCAGGTTTGTTCCTCGAAGAAGATAACATGGTCTTTCTATTTTAATTCCTTTATAACACCACCTTCTTGCAGTTTTTGAACATATGGGTTCAAAGGGAGTACTTGGAGCTTGATTTGAGGATACCAAATCCAGCTGTCAAAACAGATATCGAGAAGCTCATAGATGATTTCATATTTATTTGTTTCCTAACCGGAAATGACTGTAAACATGACACGGTTAGTAGCGCCTATTTCAGTAAATATTTCACATATGTGCAAAGTTTGACATGCCATTGCAGATAAGATTGGGATGGGCGGGGTGGAAATCTCGATTCTACAGGAAAAGTTTGGTGTGGAAAAATCTAATGAAGTTGGGAAGTTGAAGAATGACATGGTTAAATTTTTCTTGTTTCTCTGTGCAAATAGAATTGTATGATCTATGATGTATGCTATATTTCTTTTAAATGTAATGTATGGCATCTTGTTTTTTGTGAAATATCAAAAAGGGAAAAAACTATTTGTGCATTTGCTTTGACTAATTGAACTTGCAAAATTTAGGGAAATAAACTATCTGAGCATTTGTAATGGCTTGTGCTAAATTAGATATAGCAAAGTAGCATATATCTTATTGATACCTATGATAAACTGATGCAGATTTATTATTTGCATTTTAGTCTCATACTCAAAATTTGTTCTCACTGTTGATAGTTGTGATGTTGCGATGGATTTGTGGTCACACAAGAATGGACCGAGTTCAGAACAATGATATACGTGATCGTCTAGGGGTAGCACCAATTGAAGAAAAGCTTGTCCAACATCGGTTGAGATGGTTTGGCCATATCCAAAGGAGACCTCCAGAGGCACCAGTGCATTGTGGAGTTCTAAGCCAAGCTAATAATATGAGGAGAGGTAGAGGAAGACCGAAATTGACATGGGGGGCAATAAAAAGATATTTGAAAGCTTGTGATATACCTAGAGATCTATGTTTGAATAGGAGTGCTTGGAAAGCAGCTATTGAAGTGCCTGAACCGTGACTTGGGACTCTTGGTGGGTTTCACCTCTAGCCTATCCCAACTTGCTTGGGACTGAAAAGCTATGTTGTTGATGTATTGATGTTTGCTGATAGTTGTTAAGAGTCAAATGTATCCTGCTTGGCTGAGGATTGTGAACTTTAAAAAGTGGACTGAAAGGCGGTGTTCATTTTTGTAAAGGATTAGGCAGCTGAATTTGTTTATGAATTTGTGTTTCTTTCATCAATTGATTTATTTTTTCTAGACGTCACCGTAGCGTTAGCACGGGCAATTACTAGTTGAGAATAAATTAATCGATGAGATTGGTAATGATATCAGTGACTTTGCATATAGGAATGACAGAAAGCAGCAAGAAAATATCATTAAATTATTTCATATAAGTATTGCTTTTTGATGCATTTTAAGTGTTTCTTGATAGCATTATATATACATATAATTATGTTTATTTTAAGGGCCTCGGTTTAAGTTTTGCTCCAGGCCCCATAAGTCTCAGGAGTCAGGACCAGCCCCGTGTATAGTTGCTAGCTCCATATCAGTGTTCATCACGCACGCAGGAGAGTAGACTCACAATTCTTCCATGAACTCAGGTCTCTTCACACGCTTGACGCGTCCATCTTGTCCTTGAAGCACTGACAGCAGATATCTGCAACGCCCAATTCAATGACCAGCTGTAAATCAGGACTGCAAAGAGAATATGCTAGTACAATTCTAAGAGTCGGCATCACGGGCTATAAAAAACAAACCTCCGTTTCTCAACGACCAAGGATTCATTTCGATGCACAAGCTCGCAGACTGTGTTGGCGTCCTCGACAGTGAAGTCCCGCGCCGCCTCCCAGTCTGTTAAATGAAAGAAAAAGGGGAAATATAAAGAATCAGGATGTTAGGAGAGAAGCAGCAGGCGGCAGGCGGCGAGTGATTCTTACCCCCCGTTTCTCGAGACCCACGAATCCATGGGCCTGCAGCACCAAGCAGATGCTGCGACCTGGCATCCATGGTTGCAGGAGAGGAATATTGCCGGAGCTGTTGTGGACTGCTGAAACTGGAACTGGAAATCACAGCTGCTGTTAGTTACCGATCTCTGCGTTATATAAGAAGCCTAAGTCGGAGCGCACAAGCAAAGCACTGGATGGTCATTTAGCTCGGGATAGGGAGCTGGGGACAAATCGATATTCTACTGCAACCACGCGCAAATCCAGCGAGCAATCTACATGGCAAGCAATTGATTGTCTCATTGCTTGGTGGATGGAGAAGCAGACAGGGACTAGAAACGAACCCGCGAGGTCAGCAGCAGAAGGACGGCCGGCGGCCGGTGACCGGCGCTCCGCTGAGCTTGACGGCGGCCGCCGCCGCCTCCTCGCGCACGGGGGAAGGTTGGTCCCTACTCCCTGAAGACCGAGCCGGCAAGCTTTGGTTACCGTGGTTTTAGTTTTTTTTAGGGGATATACCGTGGTTTTAGACCAAACAGGCGCAATATTTCACGAGCCTGCTTGGTTTACTGACAAAAATTACCATGCCAAAGTTACGTGAAAAAATTTATCAAATTGGTAAGTTTTAACAACAAATTAAATAATAGTCCAAAATAAGAAAACTGCTAATCTTCGGGCGTATGAGAATTAGCCTTCTTTCATACGACGATTTTCAACCGTTCGATTAACATGCGACGGATTTCACGCGGTCACTTTTCATCTTCCTCCTTCAGCTTTTCACTTCTTCCAGCGCTCGAGGCTGCATCACTCGCCCCAGCCGTCGCCCACCACCCTGTCGCGGCACGGTAGGTCTCACCAGGGCGGATCTCCCGCGAGACTCTAACAAGCCAGCGCGCGGCCTCTCTCTTTCCCTCCCCCGCCTCTTCCCTCACCGTCGCCGTCTTCTCCAACTCCAGCGAGACTCCCCCCGCTCCGACCTGGCCCGGCCGTCATTCCTAGCGCCAGGGCCCAAAAAAACCGCCCGGTCACCATCCCCACCGCCTGGCCTCCCTGCCTCCCCCAGGCCGGCCCCTTCTATAGCGCCGGAGTTGGAGAAGAAAGAGAGGGAGATGCTCGTTGGAACCCTAACCACCGCCGCCGCCGTCTTCGATGGGCACAGAGTCTAGGAGGAGGGGGAGTGGTAGAGGAGGAGGAGGAGGAGGAGGAGGAGGAGGGCCGAAGCCAGACTTACACGATACCGGTGAGGTCGTCGTCTCCGACTCCGGTGAGGTCTCGCATGAACCCTAGCCGCGGGCATTGGTCGAGCACGGGCGCGGGCGTCACTTGAAGTGGACGGCGACTTCAGGCGTCTACAAAGTAGGAAGCGTGCCAAAATAATAGCTTGCCAAATCTTTAGATTGGCATATTTTAGAAGCTAACCAATCAAGTCATGTCCTGTACCAAACACCATCAGGCTATCAGGTAACCTAAAAACACAAAAATGCACATGTGTTAGTTGTCTCTGGCATTCATGGTCCATCACAAAGAAAGTGGGCTTAGACCTATCCTACGTACGATATTGGGCCTTTTTTTGCGACCTAGACTAGCCGCTTGTATCTATCTACATCTCTTATAAATATATACCCCTCTAGCAATTCTATCTAATCCCACAGCGATCCACATCATCAACTAATATAAGCCATATGATTTGCATCGTTAGTTAGTCCATCTGTTCATCTAACCAGACCACCATGTGACCCCATGCCCACATCCGAATAGAAAGGGAAACAAAAAGCCGCATGACCTCTGCACATATGCCATTTCAATCCTCTCCAATATCTCATGTAACCGATGATTACTCATGCACATCATCAATTAATATAAGCCATCTGATTTGCACCATCAATCCATCCGTTCATCTAGCTATACCTATGCCCCAACAAGCAAGCCCACATCCAAAGAGAAAGGGAAACAAACAGCCGCATGACCTCTGCACACACGCCATTCAATCCTCTACAATATCTCCTGTAACCGATGATTACTCGTGCTCTAATTACATATGCCTCTTGGTTTGAATCACCACTGCTGCTTGCAACCAACCAATCATCATCAATTCTCCTTCCAATCGCCTCCCTTTAAATTCTCCTTCGGCCTCATCTATTCACCTTCACTATCCCTCAGTCACAAATAGTAGTGTCCGTGCGTCATGCAAAGTCATCCATCATCGTCGAATCAGAAAAGTGTAGGGTTCTATCCATCGGGAGATGGCAGCAAGCCGTCGTATCAGCTAACGTTTTGCTGTGAGATCTCGTGCAGGCTCATCACGCGTGGTCTCCGTTCCACGCGCAATGGCCGGCATGAGAACCCCGCCATGAAGCCTCACCACGACCTCCGATGGTCGCTCACCATCCACATAGACGTCGTAGGCTGAGCTTGAGCTACACCTGTTTGCTTTGGATACGAGAGGAGAGCGCATGGGAAATGGATGAGGGTGAGATTCAGTGAGAGATTGTGAAAGATATAGGGTTGCGGCTGTTTGGGACCTACCGTGTGGATGGCAATCATCGATAGTTGCCACACGCGTCCAAATTTTTTCCATGTTCAATCACCAGCGGATGAGGGTTCTTCACGTAATATCATCATTATTATATGACTTTATTATTGATGGAGTCTACTGGATGATGCATTGCTTTAGTTTGATTTACATTTTTCTATCTCTTTTCCCATGTTTATCAGTTACTTCAAAAATATATGCATAAATCTTAGAAAATGTATGTCTTACATTTTAATACTTCTGGTCTTTTTGGATGATAGTGAAGAGTGCTTATTGTAATTTTCTGAGTTGTCCAATATTACTTTTTTCAGAAATACCTAATAGTTTCAATACTTCATGCTCCACAATAACAATATGAGAGTCATCGCCTATTCCCGTAGCAATGTGCGGGAAATTCTTCTAATTTCAGTATTTGTATATGTGAACGCGTCTTTCGCGTACGCCAACAATCTCTGTGAACTGGGACCAACGTTGATACCACCTGCCTCTCTTCCAGTTCTAGGGAATCAAATTAAGCCCCCCTTTGGCAGGGCTTTTGCCGCGGCTCCTCGAGCGGCTTGGCGAAGCCCTACCAAATGGCGACAGGCAAAACGGCTTGCGGCAAGAAGCCGGCAAAAGCCCCAAAAACCCCGTGACTCGGTTCCTCCCCACGCGAGAAGCCAAAAATATCTTGGCTTATTCCGACTCGAGCTCACACACTTTCCATCCCCGTCCTCGGCTTGCTCTCCTCCCCGACGCCACACACGACGGCCGCCTCCCCACGCCGCCCGTCGGCCTTGAGCTCCGCCTCACATGCTTCTCCATGCTCCACTTCCTGGCCTCGAGCTCGAGCCCCAGCCACTGGCTTCTTCTCCTCGCTCCGCCTCGCCCCCATCACGCCTCTCCTCCTCCCCACCTTGCCGGGTCTCCAGCTCCACCCACGGCCTCGAGCTCCAGCTCCGCCACACTGCTCGGCCCCTCCTCTGCCCGGTGGGACTGCCTTGAGCTTCAATCCCGGCCTCTGCCTGCCCTTGAGAAAGAGAGAGATGGATGGAGGGGGGGTGCTTGAGAAGAGAGTGAGGCTGTTCGGGATAAGGAGAAGAAAAGAAGGAGAAGGAAAGAAAAGAAAAAAAAAATAAAAATGAAAAGAAAAAAGAAAAAAAGGAAAAAAATATAAGGGTATTTTGGACATTTAACATCTTCTTTACACTAGGAGAAGCCGTTTTGCCAAACATTTTCGTACAAAATAAGCCAGAGTCAAAAAAAAAAAACTGCTTTTCCATACGAGCCAGAGTTAGAGCTGTTTTTTCACGAGCCGGAGCCATAATAAACGGCCCCTTTACTACTAACACCGAAGTGCCCACAGGCCACAGCTGGACATAAATTCACTGACAGGTGGGCCTTCACAGCAGACCCCACCTGTCATCCAGTAGTCCACCAACGCACGGTCGGCGATGGAAAGTCCACGGGCGCCGACCACTGACAGGCCTACCCCAACGGCCTGGTGCGCACACTGACATGTGGGCGTCGGTGCGGCGGCGGCCCCACCTATCGTTTGGCTGCCATCCGGCTGGGCCGCCTAGCGTCTGGCCGAAATGAACGAAACCCTTCGTTTTCCGGCGACACACCGCACCTGCTCGGCACGGCCCGCTATATAACAACTTGCCGCTCTTCCGCCGCCACGTGCTCGCTGCCGCCGCCGCGCCGCACTCGCATTCGCATCGCCGCAACGCGCCGCCGAGGCTTGCTTACTAGACGGACGAGGAGTGGATTGGAGTAACTAGCAGCAACCCTAGCCCGGCAGGTCCGTCGCGAAACCCTAGACTTCGCAGCCGGCGGTCGCCGGAGATGGCCTCCTCGCCGCCGCGCGCCCCGCGGCGCTTCCTTTTCGACCTCAACGTCGCGCAGGAGGAGGTCGAAGAGGAGGAGCCCATGGAGGTGCTTGAGGAGGAGGGGGCCCCGGTGGCGCAGCCCGAGGAGGCTGTCGTCGAGGAGGTCGCTGAGCAGTTGGTCGAGCACGCGGTGCCTACCGTGGAGGAGGAGGAGCCTGTGGAGGAGGTGATCATGGAGGAGGAGCCTTCGGAGGAGGTGATCATGGAGGAGGAGGAGGAGGAGGAGGAGGAGGAGCCTGCTCCGGCGCCGGCGGGGGAGGTGATTGGGGAGGGGAAGGGGAGGAAAAAGAGGATAGACTACGAGGTCTTCGTGTCCGGGCTGCCGCAGGACGCCGCTGAGGAGGACGTGGCGAAGGCGCTGGCGGAGGCCGGAGATGTTGAGGAGGTGCGCCTCGTGCGGGATCCAGCGGACCAGCGGCTCAAAGGATTCGCTTTTGTCCGCTTCGCCGCCGCCTGGCAGGCGCGGTGGGCGGCCAACGACCTCCGCGAGGCTGCGGTAATTACATCGAATCTTACCACCGTGATATTTAGATTCGCATCGATTGCTAGCTTGGTGAGGTTGGGCAAGCTGGTTGGGGAAAGCTGTGAATTAACTGATGTTGAATTGATTGAGCCTTTTGCTGATTTCCAGAGGCGTTTCATTTTATGCTAGTGGTTGGGGGAATGGGGTTGATTCATTTTTACTTCAGAAACTGATAAAGTTAGGAATTTGAAATTTTTTATTGTCAACTACTTTGAGATTAGATACTTTTTTTTGTTGTATTGTTACTATCCTGGATTTAGATTAATGGACGTGAAATCAGGTACTCTGAGTTAGCAATTTGGAATCTAGAGCTCAATATGCGGCTTTCTCAACTCTCAAGTACAAGTGTACAACACCCTGTTTGTCAAGGCGGTAGTCTGAGTTAGCAATTTGGAATCTAGTGCTCAATATGCGGCTTTCTCAACTCTCAAGTACAAGACTCTGTTTGTCAAGGCATGATACTGTAGGAGATTACAAAGACTATACTGTTAGGAAAAATGAAATATGGTGAATTCAATGTAGTACTTTAGTGCATGTACATCAGTAGCACCTTGTTGTAGTTCCTAGCTGCTTCTATTCTCGGTGCTAAGAATCTAACGTATAAATTTTTTTATTTTATTGCTAAAGTGAAGTTGGCACCAGTTGCAACACTTAGCATTGATGGCATTTGTAGCATGCTGACGTCCCTGCTAGTTTCCCTCAAAGAAAAAACAAACATCCCTGCTAGTTCATTCCATCTCATCAAGCTTCTTGCTAGCACCCTTGGGTATTATTGCTCTTAGAGTGGAATATATTATTATGTTTCTGCATTGTCATTTAACTTTTTAAGTTCTAAAAGATCATATTATCTGAAAGGTTGAATTTTTTTAATGTTCTGATTATCTGGTATGAACATATATTAATGGTGTATTGGTTTTGGTCAAGGTCTAGTTTAACTGACACCTTTTGACACAATTTCTTATACTGTTACAGTGTTACTTGAATGAACTAGTCAACTGTGTTTGTCCTCCACAGCTAGAATTATCTATATCTATTATTTAATGTGCGTAGTACCTAGTGAACAAAAATATGAAAAAGGAAATGATGTTGGAAATGACTTTGGTTTTAAAGGACCATGGGTTCATTTATCCATTCCAGCAGCAAATAAGCAAAAGGAATGCCCCCACTTGAGGCTAGATCAGTAAAAAGGAGAACTTTTGTGTTTGTAGCCGTTATAGGTTATAGACTTATGAGTAATGCTAACTTGGTAAAAGATCACTCCTTTTATCATCCATTCAATTTGAGTTAGTCACCTGCTAAGTAACAAGTGTAATACTAAGGGGAAAAAAGAGGATATCATGTATTTAAATAAACATGAATACAATACTCTGCCAACATGTGCAGACGGCCAACCTGCATTTAAAGTTTAGTTATTGTTCATGATCTGAACTACTATTGCACCAATAGTAATGCTAGGAAAATTAAATTAATGGGGCTAACTATGGAAATCCTAGTTTCGTTCCTTGTTCTACTTCAAGGATCTAGTTCACATAGAAGTATCCTAATTTAGCATCTTTTTAAATATGAAAGGTAGCAGTATGATTGCTCAACTTTTATAGCCATAAACATCCATGCGCTCTTTGATGCGTGCGCTGCAAATATTTGTGCAACTGTTCAAGTCCAAGTTGTGGTATGTTTTTATGCTAATCATCAGTGTTTTAAAGGTGTCGCCTAGTCGTCCAGGTGAGAAAAATTTCTGGGCATCCGGGTCGCCTAGCTATGCGGGCATATGACATCTGCCTTTCTCGTTAGGCGTCCAGGGCGTCGCCAAGGAGGCTGCAGCGGTCGCCTTACTCGCGAGCGCACGTGGGGAAAAGAATCGACCCAGCACCCACGCGGGAAGGAAATCACCCCTTCTGCCGTTCCCTATTTGCGCGCGGGAAGGAAATCGCGCGGGAATCATGCGGATAATACTGGAATTAAGAGGGATTGAGGGAAGAGAGGGGGAGACTGAGAGGAAATATGTGGCACATGCTGGCTCCGTTTCTTCCCTGTGCGCTTGTGGTGAGTTGCAGCCGACACATCCCCGCGCCCTGTCCACGTGCGTGGATTGCTTTGATTTCGTGCCGTCCACCTGTTGTGGCGCGCAGCTTTGATTTCGCGCCGTCCGCACGGACCCAGGGCAAGGATAAGTGGTGGGCTGCTTGGTCTGCCTCCTTGTTGCCCAGAATCTGCTCTGTTCTTCACTTGTGCCCAGCTCGAGCCTGGCTTTCTATCAGTCTGGATTGAGCCAAGTATGTCTCTGCTCTCTCTCTTCCTGTCATCTCAAAGGCCGAAGGTTTTCTGTGCCCTGTTGTTGCTTGTCTACTTCCTTCCTCTCCTGGTGCTTTGTTTTATAGATGCTATCCTCTTCCTATGGTTCATTCTCTGCCTCTTCTCTGTTTGTGATTTATATATGGATATAGATGTGGAGTGAAAGTGCTATTGAGAGATGAGTGATTTCAGATTTGCTATTTTAGATGCATAGTGAAAGTGCTATTGAGAGAGGAGAGAGAGATTCCAGATTTACTATTTTGCTATTTTATGTGGTGCACTAGTACTCAAGTAGCACTACTTACTATGGTATCACATGCTAAGAATTGACCATATTAAGGTATGATTTGCTTCTAAATTTTAGTGGTGTTATATAGTAAGATTTTTATATGGCATCGCCTAGGCGATTGCCTCATTCGCCAATCGCCTAGGTGGCTGGAAGGGGGCGATCACCTCGCCTCACCTTATTGCCTTTGAAACATTGCTAATCATGATGTTTAAATAGACTATTCATGGAAATGGCAGCGAGAGTGCACATCCCATTTTGGTTATGTTTAATTTATCCCTCTGAAAGTTTGTTGAATATGATGTATCCATTTCTCTCTTGAGTGCTCAACTGGAACAGCTTCAAATTATGTATAAGCAATTTGGTGAATAGTCTTGACTATATTTTTCTTCACTGGTACAAGCCTACAAGGCTTGCTTGCATTTTTCCTACTATATATCCATTGTGATTTTCCTACTGGATCTCCATTTTCCTGCCAAACTATTTGAAGTAATATTTCCTTTTCAATGTGAATTTGCTATTGTAATGCATGCTTGTATCCATATATAATGAATATGCCTACATTGGTTTGTTTTCTAGAAGTAGTGAAGGATGCTTGGGACATTGTACAGCCTAGAACCTGTCCACTTGATACCCTTGCTTTGAAACTCAAGGCAACTGCCAGAGGGTTACAGAGCTGGAGTCAGAAGAAATTTGGTCACTTCAAGTCCCAATTGCTTCTGGCAAAAGAAATCGTCCACCAACTTGATATTGCTCAAGAAAGCAGGCCTCTTCAACCTAATGAATTATGGCTACGTAATAATCTCAAGAAGCATTCACTGGCGCTATCTTCCCTGCTGAGAACAATATCAAGACTCAGGTCCAGGGTAAATTGGCTAAAGGATGGGGATGCCAACACAAGGCTTTTTCATCAACATGCAAGATATAGAAAAAAGAAGAATTTCATCCCCAAATTGCATGTTGGAGATCAGGTTATCACAAAGCATGAGGATAAGGCATCTGCTGTTCTAGATTTTTATGACAATCTCATTGGGACTGAGTGCGCTAGAGGGAGAACTATCAATCGGGACACCCTTGGCAGCCCCGGCTTTGATCTTGAAGCTTTAAAAAAGGGGGCGTACCCAGTGCAGAGAGCTCCCGCTCTGTGCGGGGTCTGGGGAAGGGTGTTAGTGGCAAATCTTACCCTCGCCTGTGCAATGCGAGGAGACCGCGACTCGAACCCGGGACCTTCCGGTCACAGGCGGTAAGACTCTACCGCTTGCACCAGGCTCGTCCTTCCCCAGATCCCGCACATTTTATAAAAGTTGCTGGACAGTTATCAAGAATGATGTGATGGCAGCAGTTCATTTTCTTTGGACTGGAAATTTCAGAAACCTCCAGAAACTGAATTCTGCATACATTACTCTGATTCCAAAAAAGACTAATGCTGTTCAAGTCAAGGATTATAGGCCAATTAGCTTGGTTCACAGCTTTGCCAAACTTGTGACCAAAATCCTGGCTAATAGGCTTGCAGGTCGGCTGGATGAGATGGTGTCCTCCAATCAAAGTGCTTTCATCAAAAAAAGGTTCATTCAAGATAATTTCATGATGGTCCAGCAGACAGTTAAATTCCTACACTCTCAAAAGCAGCCCAGAATTCTCATGAAGCTTGACATTACCAAAGCTTTTGACTCAGTGTCTTGGGCCTTCCTTTTGGAGGTGCTTAGAAAATTGGGTTTCGGTTCTCGCTGGTGTGATGATTTGTGGCCTCTTATCATCTTCATCCACCCATGTTCTCTTGAATGACATCCCAGGAGAAGGTATTTTGCACAGAAGGGGACTGAGACAGGGAGATCCGCTATCTCCTATGCTCTTTATTCTTGTTATGGATGTGTTAAATCAGATGTTCACAAGGGCTTTTGAAGTTGGGCTGCTACAGCCTTTATCCAGTAGGCCTATCCAGCATAGAATCTCCTTATATGCTGACGATGTAGCCATTTTCCTTCAGCCTAATGCAGCAGATATCAATTTGTCTTTACAGCTACTGGATTTATTTGGTGAAGCATCTGGCCTTAGGGCCAATGTTCAAAAAAGTAATGTGCTACCAATCCATTGTGCTGAGGAAAATCTGGCCCTCATTCATAATCTGTTGCCCTGTGAGATGCTGGATTTCCCTTACAAATATTTGGGTCTCCCCCTGACCATCAAGAAGCTGACTAAGGAGCAGGTCCAACCCATCATTGACAGAATTGCACATCAGCTTCCTGGGTGGAAGGCTGATTTGATGACCCGAGCTGGTAGAGTTATTCAAGTGCAGTATGTTCTCACAGGAATCCTGATTTATGTGGCCATGGCAACAGATCTCCCACCTTGGGCTCTCAAAGCCATTGACAAGATCAGAAGGGCCTTCCTGTGGAGAGGCCGAAAAGAGGCAAAGGGTGGTTACTGTCTCATTGCCTGGCCTAAAGTGTGCCGCTCCCAAGAACTAGGTGGTCTTGGGATTGCTGATCTGAAGGCTTTGAGTATCGCCTTAAAAGCACGATGGTCGTGGCTCAAGCGGAGTGAGCCCAGCAAACCGTGGGCAAATCTACCTATCCAAGTCAGTACAGAGGTAGCTGGCCTCATCTCTGTGGTTGTAATAACTGAAGTTGGAAATGGATCCAATACACTCTTTTGGGAGGACAAATGGTTAGATGGCAAAAGAATCCAGGACATCACACCTCTGGTATATGCACTGGTTCCTAAAAGGTCAAGTAGACGTACTGTGTTGGAAGCACTAACTGGGGAAAAATGGATAGAGGACATACAAGGTGAGATCGGTTCAAGTGCCTTGATTATCTTTGGGATATCCTGAATGGTGTGGAGCTAAATGAGGAAATTCCTGATAAGCACATCTGGAGGCTATCTACTTCAGGAAAATATACAGCAAAGAGCGCCTATGATACGCTTTTTCAGGGTGCAATCTTCTTTGAACCTTATGAGAGAATCTGGAAATCCTGCCCCCACCCACCCAAATTTCATGTGGCTTGTCGCTCATAATAGATGTTGGACAACGGACAGATTGGCAAAGAGGGGGCTCCCTCATCCAGATCAGTGCCTTCTATGTGATCAAGAGGAGGACATTCAACATCTTCTTGTGGGCTGTGTATTCTCAAGAGACTTTTGGTTCTCCCTCCTATTGCGCTTTGGTTTTGCAGCACTTGCTCCTCAACCTTCTGACCAATCCTTTGATAATTGGTGGAGAAAAGTTGATAGTGCTGCTAGTGGAGATTATAGGTTGGGTCTGAATTCCCTAGTCATTTTGGGAGCCTGGAGCATCTGGCGACATAGAAATGATTGTGTTTTTAATGGGACAACCCCAAATGTTAACTTGGCTCTGGCTCTGGCTAGGGAAGAGGCTCATTGGTGGAGCCTAGCAGGAGCCAAGGGAATTTCCCTGCTCTCTGCTGGAGGATCAGTCTAATGGACTGCTGTAGGGTCGTCTTTTTGTCTTTCTTAACCAGTGATCCAGTGTCTATGTAGTGGTGTGTGTGTGTGTGTGTGGGGGGGGGGGGTGGGTCTATATATGACTCTCTTTTTCTTCTATTAATACAATGATACGCAGCTCTCCTGCGTGTTCGAGAAAAAAAAACATTTATTTACTGGTACTTAAATTTCCAGATTAAGGGAAAAGCTTGTGGAATATGCAAGAACAGTGAAAACGAGACTCTTCATGTCCGAAATATATGCTTTGATTGGTCAAAGGATGATGTAAGGTTTCTTGCTTATTTGGTATAATGTATGTTATAAGTATGATTTTAGTTTATATAACAGGTGATCCCTTTTTGTTCAGTTAGCTGAGAAACTGGAACCTTTCAAGTTGGAAAACTTGGATAGAATTAATCTAATTGAGCACCCAGAAAAAAAGGGTAAAAACAGAGGCTATGCGTTTCTTGACTTCAGGACTCATGTAGATGCTGTGGCGGCTTTTGTGAAACTACAGAAAAGAGATCTGTATCTTGGAACTGATTTTAGAGCGCACATATCATTTTCAAACACTCTTTCACAAGACGATGAGATCATGGAAAAGGTACAGTAACAATACATCTATACCTTGTAAGAACTTGTTGCCGGCACAGCATATATTGCATTATCCTTCTTTCCTTTTACAATGTCTTCAATTTTGTCATGCAATGCAGGTGAAATCTGTTTTCTTGGATGGCTTACCACCTCATTGGGATGAAGACAAAGTGAGAGAAATGTTCGGGAAATTTGGTGAAATTGATAGCATACAACTCGCTAGAAATATGTTCACAGCAAAACGAAAAGATTTTGGTTTCATTGGCTTTACAACAAGACAGTCAGCTTTAGACTGCATTAAGATGGTCAATAAAGATGGTGTTGGCGAAGGTAGTGGAAAGGTAACCACTTTAGTGTGCCATTTATTTGGTGTGTTGCCGTTTCTTGCCTTTTGATCCAAATGTCTAACCAGTAACCACTATATTTGAATTTACAGGTTCTCATAAAAGCTAGTTTGCAAAGGCCAAGGCATGCTTTCAAAAAGAATTCCTGGCAAGGCTCTAGTTCCTTGTTAGGCGTCAGAAGAGGATTTGTAGAAAAAAGTTATAGTGGTAGAGGACACCACTCAGACAGATATAGGCATTATAGTCCTGAAAGGTGTTCGTATTCAGATAATCATTCTCGCCGTCACCGCTCTATTGATGTTGAAGAAAGGCATACTTCTGTGCGAGGATACAGAGCTTACTATAGAAGGGATTCTCCAGTGCATGGTTCGTTTCCAAAGTATACAATCAAATTAACTTGTTTCCTTCTTCCTTTCTATCTCTGCATGAATTAACAGTTATTTTGTATGGCTGGTGTAGCCCCAAACTATAAATATGGAAGAATCAGGGAAGAATATGCTGAGAGACGATACACTAGTAAATATCCAAAACACAGGCAAGCAATGCATGAAACCATGGAGCAGGATGCATACCGCAGGAACAAATATGGACATTCATACCAGGAGAGGGCACATAGAACTTGCCCTTGCCCAGAATGTAACTTGAGTGGTCAAAATTGCAATTACCCCAATGGTGAGGAATTTTCTGCAATCAGCGGTTGTGAGCAGGCATACTACAAGACAGTAAGCGCAAAAGTTCCGTTGCTAGTATTTTATTACCATCGGCTTGATGTTTATTGTAAAATCGTTGCTGCTTCTGTTTCTTAGGACCGTGATCTGACGCCTTCAACTTCTCAAGTAGCATCTCATTGTGAGGATTCTTGCTGCAAGGTGGTATATAAGCATTACATCCTATAATTTCTACTTTGTTTTGGCTTATGCTAACTATTGGAGCTTACATTTCTTAGGGCCAGCAGTTGATGCCTAAAAGTTCTTCTGTGATGTGTGATTGTGATGAATGCTATATTGTAAGTTGGATATGGGCTCATCATTTTCTTTGACATTGAGTTTTGTTGAAGCATGGCATCTCAGCTTCTTATATTCGAAACTTGCATTCTTCAGAATCAAGAGTCAACACCTAGTCCAAGTGAGCATGCCAGAACAAGATCCAATCTTCCAGTGCCCCTTCATCATCGGCTTGGCAAACATTCTAATGAGCATGGGAGGTATGTATCATGAAAGAAAGTGTGCATCTTTTCCTGCCGCTCGCTCCTATTCCTTCTAATTTCCAAGCTGTAACAGTATTTCATGTTTGCTGGCAGGCATGTGGATGATGCACATTCTGCTTTTGAGGTGGAGTACACTGTGAGGGAAAGCCGAAGCCGGTATCTCTCTTCCAAAGATGCTCCAAGTACTCACTCCAGGAAGCACCATAGGTCAGCAAGATAATCTGCAAGTCTCACAAGATAGAGAGAATCTAGTAGCGGCTCGCTTCTGATACTTCTTAGTATGATCGATAGCATTTTGTTACCGCCCCGCTTGCGTGGCTGACACCCTGTTACGGGGAGGAATCTGCTTGAAGGAGAGCAGTATACTGTCCCAAGTTATAACCAGATATTTTGCCTTGTCTCGGTTCTATGTATTCGCGTTCGATCCCTCGAAATGTGATGCTGAACTGGTTTTGGGTGACAAACCTACAAATTGATCTTACAGTCGACGAGTCTGGTTGTCTGGATGTTTTAAAGCTCGGAGAGCAGCTGGCCTAACAAAACATGTGATGGAAACGTGTCGAGCTGAGCTCATAAACAACTTGCTCAAGCAACGAAAGTGCTCCTGAACAACCTGCAAAGAGTCGTTTAAAACTTGGGAACAAGAACTTCCTACCCTTTGTTTAATGAGACCAATGTTGGTTTTTTGTTTTGAGGGGTGGGTGCTAGCAAGAGAGAATTGTTATAACCAGGAAAGTGTCTGGTCCAACCACGATCGTGAAACATGGCGACAATTAGCCGCCGAGATGGATCAACGATGATGGTCTGTTATTTACATCTCCCGGCCGAGAGAGTCCAACACGTCCCTGTACTTGATAGTGGCTTCCTTGATGGAAAGTGATCCGGGGTCCGACATCTTAACTCCCATTTTCCTACTATCATCCAAATCCACTGAGAAGCAAATGGACCGATAGGAGAATGACGATCACATCCTGGATTAGTGATTAGGCTTAATATTAACCGTAGATCTAATTCTACGATTACTGTTTACTCATGTAAAACACTGACTGCCGTTGAAGAGAGAATGGACTCGTCCTTGAACATGACCACCATCCTCTCCGGCGAACCGCTCACCGGAGTGCCCTATTTCTTGTCGACGCAGTTTTATTTTACATGAGTAAATAGAATGTTTGCCAAGGTAATAGCTTAGTCTAGCTACCTCGCGCCGAATCCACGGGAAAACTTGTCGCAACAATGCACTTGGCTTGTCACACTCATACATGACAAGTGGTTTGTACAAAAGTGTTCATGTCGCATTACCACGGATACACGGTCCTTAATCAGTCCAGCGAGCTACACCATTCATGACCTTTCCTGCCTTGCCATGGTCCAACCTCTCGCTAGTCCTCGATTCAATTCTCATCTTCTTGGACAAGTTTTAGATTACTGTTCTATTTTTGTGTTGCTTAGTGGACAAACAAGTCCTATGCGCGAGAGAGATGGTAAACCCATCATCTTCTCGACTTCTACGGTCTAAGCAAGCTAAGCATATATTGCGTGACAATTGAAAGTAAACAAGCAATGATACAAGGCATTGGATTAACCTCAAGCAATTGAAGCTCAACTAGGTACTTTATGTAACTATTTTGTAACATAGCATGCATATACTTAACCTTTAGTCACATTATGCAACCCGCAAAAAGAGAGTTAGAAATACTTAGGACTGCCCTGGTCCAATAGGGGGCTGCTCGACAACTGTGTTGGTCATTGGGGTCTCGTCAGGTGGGACTTCCTTGTACGATTCTTCACCTATGGATGTGAACTTCAACTTGGTACATATACTAAAGATGTTAGAATGGATGATAGATTTGAAGGCCTAGACAACGTTGGTGAGTTCTCTATCAAGCTTGCTGACACAAAGAAATATGAACTTTATGGTTGGGTGTTCTTAATCCTTAAATTGACACTGATCTTACCGGTGGTGATAACAAGTGTTGAAAGAGTATTCTCCGCATCATGTCTAGTGAAGAATAAGGTGAGAAACAATATGAGTGACAAGTTATTGAATGATTGTCTAGTTACCTTTATTGAGCGTAATATATTCTCCAATGTAAGCAATGATGACATAGTTCATGCTTTCATGGCAACGAGGAAGCGCCAAAGCAAAAGCCTTGAACTAGTATTGTAGTCTCTTATTTATGTAAGACCTTATCTTATGTATGATCTATTTGTGCAAGTTTCAAACCTAGTTGTGTAAGTTTTGAACCTTTTAAATGTACTATCGTAATGTGGTTAATTTATAGTCGGGTATAACAAACCATATAAAGTATTTTATATTAGTATTACTAAATTTTCTATTGGATTTTATCACATTACATATGAAAATTTTGACTAGTATACTACAGCTGGTTCAAATCCTAAGTCCATCACTGTGTTTATGGGGAGGAGTGCCTATAGTCATGCACTGAGGTTGTAGGCACATTGCTGAATCTCGTTAAAAACATCATGCCTCATTGTGCTTTCTTCTATAGTATTATGCGTCCGCATTCTTTGGTTAGTAGATTTGTTTGGGTCCTTGCACTATAAAAACTGAGATGTGAATTGATGCCGGTTTTATACAATTATATTACCATGTGCTTAAACTTGAAAGTTTTGTGATTTTTGTTCAGCTTCTTACACAGGTCGGTCATTATTACGAAATTAAAATGGCCTTTGAATGAAAGTTCTCCCAAATTGAAGTCTTTTCATAGCCAATGGGCTTGGGCTCAATTCACAATCCCGAAACAAAAACCTGTTGCAACATAGTAGGTCTAAGTGCTGTTTGGTTTCAGCAGTGGCAACAGGAAATCTACAATCAGTTGCCGGCGGTAGCTATTACAAGGGAATTGTAAATGTTGTTTGTTTGGTTTGTGGCTTTAGTGTTTCGAGGAAACTGTGGCTTGAGTGTTACCTGTTCTTCTTGTCCTTGGATAAAGAGAATGGATCCTTCTTATTGGCTGGTGCGCAGTCCTATGTGGGCTTGGTCTCTAGGGCTAGTGCCGATGTCGGTACCACGACGAGGGTCAAAGGGGGTGCGACCTCAGTGGGAGTCGTTGCAGGGGCCTTGGGCTCGGTCGCCGCCGTTGCTCTCGGTAGCGGGAGTTGCCGGCGACGCTGTAGTAGACTGGAGGGTCGTAGGAGAGGTTGATGTTAGATAATCTACTGCTCCCTTGTGTGAACACATGGCAGGGGAAGGCAGCGTCGAAAAGGCTCCCTCTTGTGAATCAGAGTCAGCTTGTGAGGGGCGGCGCCGAAAAGGCTCACCTAGAGCAGGGCGCCAGAGTTAGCCTCGTTGTCTCATCTAGTCACTTTGTGGCACATGACAAATTTGTACTAGGACTAGATGGATAGAGTTGTATATATAGTTTGCCACTGCAACTCAGAAGAGAGAGTTCAGATTTGCCATCTCCTATACAGAGCTCCGGCCAACGCTGATGTCTCTGCTGTGTGTGTATGCTCTGTTCTCCCTCCCTTTTTCTACCTCTAGCCATAGTGTGTCGTGGTCGGCAAGACTGGTGAGTGGTCGACTCACCTGAGCCGATGATCCTGTGGGCCAACAAGTGGTATCAGAGCCATACAAGCGTCGTCGCCGGACTAACCGCTAGCGATGACGGACGGTTTGGAGATGGGCGACAGTCGTGGCACTGCTGTGGCTGCCCAGCCACGACAGGAGGTCGTTGTTCACACGGTGCGGGGGGTCAGCGGCACCAGTTGGTCGACGCTGACTTGCACCAACTATGGAGAGTGGTCGGTGACCATGAAGGTCAAGCTCAGAGCCCGACGGTTCTGGAATGCTATTGACAAGGGCACCGACAATAAAGAAGATGACATGTCAGCATTGGAGACTATCCTCGTTGTTGTACCGGCAGGGTACAGGGAGCCGTTGGGGGTGAAAAGCTCTGCTAAGGAGGCGTGGGAGGCCATTACGACGATGCGCGTCGGTTCCGACCGCGCAAAGAAGGCGATGGCCCAGCTTCTGAAGCAGGAGTATGCCAACCTCAAGTTCAAGGATGGTGAATCGATGGAGGATTTCTCCCTCCGCCTGCAGACGCTCATCAACAAGCTGAAGGCCACGGCGTCACCATTGACGAAGAGGAGGCGGTCTCCATGTACCTCCACTCCATGCCGGCAAGTCCATCCAGATCGCTCTCTCCATAGAGATGATGCTGGACTCATCCACCCTCACCATTGAGGAGGTGACAAGGCGTCTGTGGGCGGTGGACGAGCGCCTGGAGTAGGCGACAGCAACGAAGGACAGCGGTAAACAACTGCTGATAGAGGAGGAGTGGGTTGCTCGAAGGAACTCTGGGGTAACCTCCTCCAGCTGTGGTGGCGATGGCAAGCGTCGTGGCAAGGCTTCTTCTTCGAAGAAGAAGCAGGTCGACCCCAACGCCTACCGACGTGCGGGAAGACGGGCCATTGGGCACGGAGTGCCCAAATCACAAGCAGGAGAAGAAGGCTGAGGCTCATCTGGCGCAAGCTGATGATGATGATGAGGCCACTATCCTAATGGCGACGTTCTGTATACTGCACGACGTCGAGGCCGAGGAGAAGGGAGAGGTGATGGCGGTGAAAGGACTTAGGGAAGGCCCTGAAGGCTGTCAACCTCGACGAACCGAGCACCCAAGTCCACCTCGAACGAGTGGGTGGTGAGTAGGAGCAGCAGTGGTATCTGGACTCCGATGCCAGCAACCACATGATGGGCTCCAAGGCAGCCTTCTCCAAACTCGATGACGATGTTACCGGTACGGTGAAGTTTGGTGACAGCTCAAGGGTGGCTATCCGAGGGTACGACACCATCATCTTTAGGTGCCAGAATGGAGAGCACCGCGCGCTAACGGATGTATATTACATCCCGCAGCTGCGTTCAAGCATCATCAGCATTGGCCAGCTGGATGAGCACGGCAGCGAGGTACTGATCAAGGACGGAGTCCTTAGGATCAGGGACCAGGAATAGCGACTTCTTGCCAAGGTGAAGAGGTCCCAGAACCGGTTGTACCTGCTCGACCTGAAGGTAGAGCAGCCGGTGTGCCTGGCGACAAGGCACATTGAGGAGCCGTGGCTGTGGCATGCCCTGTTCGGACATCTTAGCTTCGACGCGCTTGGTCGATTGGAGAAGATGATCCGAGGGCTACCCCACATCGAGCACGGAGGCGAGCTGTGTGACAGCTGCCTGGCCAGGAAGCAGAGGAGGCTGCCATTCCCAAAGGTGGCCAAGTATCGCGCGATGGACGCTCTCGAGCTCGTCCACGGCGATCTCTGCGGGACAATCACGCCAGCCACAAACGGTGGTCGGCGGTACTTCCTCCTGCTCGTGGATGATTGCAGTCGCTACATGTGGCTGCAATTCCTGATGAGCAAGGACGAAGCGGCGATGATGATCAAGAAGTTCAAGATACGCGCGGAGGCCGAGAGCGGCAAGAAGCTCCGCATGCTGAGGACTGATCGCGGCGGTGAATTCACTTTGGTGGAGTTCGCTACGTACTGCGTGGATCAGGGTGTGGTGTAACACCACACCGCGTCGTACTCACCACAACAGAATGGCGTTGTAGAGCGATAGAACCAGACGGTGGTCGGCATGGCCCGATCCATGATGAAGGCCAAAGGCATGCCGACAAGGTTCTGGGGTGAGGCGGTGACCACGGCGGTGTTCATCCTCAACCGCGCTCCCACCAAGGCCCCGAAGGGCAAGACGTCGTTCGAGGCTTGGCATGGACGCAAGTCGAGCGTGTCCTTTCTTCGGACATTCGGCTGCATCGGCCATGTCAGGAAGATGAAACTGGTCCTGACCAAGCTGGAGGACAGGAGCACACCGATGGTGTTCCTAGGCTACGCGGCGGGTACCAAGGCGTACCGACTCTACGACCCATGCGGAGACAAGGTGCTTGTCTCACGCGACGTCGTGTTCGACGAGAAGGCGGCTTAGGATTGGAACAGTCCAAGCTCGGGGGGAAGCTAGCGGCTTCACCAACACCTTCGTCGTCGAGCACTTGGTCATCCATGGTGGTGGAGACGCTAGGGATGAGGTGCCGAGCACTTCGGAGAGGGGTGCCGAGCACTCCAAGACAGAGCCAAGCACTCCAGGAGGGATGCCAAGCACTCGAGAGGGGTGCCGAGCACTTCAGGAGTGGAGCCAGGAGGTCTACAGTGGTGGCGACCACTCCAGGATGGGTGCCGAGCACTCCCATAGCGAAGCCGAGGGGTCTTGCAGTGGTGCCGACCACTGCAAGACGGGTGCCAAGCACTCCGGGAGGGGTGCAGACCACTCTAGGAGTGGTGATGAGCGGTCCAGGAGTAGTGCCGAGCACTGCATCTGGGGTGCCCAGCACTCCAGGTGCTGTGCCGATCACTCCAGCGAACAGGGAACTCCATCAACACTGATCGAGTTTGCCTCACCTTCAAGTGACATCACTGAGTTCGTGGATGCCTTCCACGATGGTGAGGAGGTGCGGTTCCACAGGCTGGACGACATCGTCGGTGGCAAAGGACCCTCAAGCCTAGCGGGTAGGCTGCTCAATGACCCAGAGCTACTACTCGTCAGTGCAGAGGAACCACCCACGTTCGCGCTGGCCGAGCTCGATACACACTGGCGATGGGCGATACTAGAGGAGATGAAGGCGATCAAGGAAAATGAGATTTGGGAGCTCGTCGATCGACCTCCAGGATGTCGTTCGATCAGCCTAAAGTGGGTGTATAAGGTCAAGCAGGACAAGCATGGCGCCATTGTCAAGCACAAGGCGCGACTCATCGCCTGAGACTTTGTTCAGCGCGAGGGCATCGACTTCGAGGAAGTCTTTGCGCCGGTAGCACGCATAGAGTCGCTCGCACTTTCCTCTTTGGCTTTGGCAACAAAAGAAAGCGAAAGGCGTCCATCATCTGGATATGAAATCGGCCTTCCTCAATGGCGAGCTAGCGAGGGTGAAAATGGCTTAGGTTGTTGTTTTTGGTAATTGGTGACAACCTAGGTTGAACTATGTCGTGCAACCTCACAGGTTTTCGCCATGTGATCAAAGAGCGAGCACGGGTGCTCTGATTGCGCAAAGGCGCCTTGACGGACTTGCTGACGAGCCCCACGAAGCGTGGAAGCGCCATATGATGGCGATTGCGTTGATCGTGTTGGTGCAAGCTTGGTTCACGAGGTGCGCGGTAAACCTAGCACGCACTCTACAAAGTTTATGCGATAGGGAAGGAGGGAGCTCGTCGGTTAAGCTAACACCTTTAGTCCACACGAGGTGTACACTTGGTGGTTGCGTTCACCATGGCTACGCGGTGGCCGCTTCATGGAGGATCCTAGAGAGGATCATTTGGTGCGCTGCAGTGAAGCGACTCTTCGCGCTACATCAAGGAGACGGTGGATCGTGGGATCGTCTTCCCCAAGACCGGTGGGAGTACGCTGCAGCTCACTGTGTTCAGCGATACAGACATGGCGGGGGACATCGACGGACGGCGGAGCACCTCTGGCGTGCTTGTCTTCCTTGGGTCGGCTCCAATTTCATGGTTATCGCTAAAATAGAAGGTGGTGGCGCTATCTACGTGCAAAGGCGAGTAGTACGTGGCAGCCATAGCGGTGTGTTGTTGTGTGGCCTTGGCACATACTTGATACTTCCGATGTGTGGCCGACTCGGTGTGGAAGCTCACCCACCAAAGACCGATGGTATACAACTAGCCCGCCATCGCCCTCATGAAGAATCTGCTCTCCATGACCGAAGCAAGCACATCGACGTGAAGTTTCACTTCCTCGGGGATCGGTGTGTCGATGAAAGGTGCGGAGCGGTGCGGACGCTGTGATGCTAATTAGCTTGGCGAACCACCAAGGCGATCGTCATCGAGTTCGTTGAAAAATCATCGTCGGCAACTTCGCAGACGTCCTCACCAAGCCGCTTTTATATCTTTGTCTTTGACTCACGGAGCTAAAGGAGATGATCGGCATGGAGGGGGTTCAAGGGTTAGTAGTAGAATTAGAAGAATAATTGTTAGATAATCTACTGCTCCCTTGTATGAACACACGACAGGGAAAGGCGGCGCTCCTAAAAGGCTCTCTACTCTTTGTGGTAATTAGTAGGTAAGCCGCATAGGACAGCGCTAACAACGCTCTCTGCCGCCAGACTCAGTAGCTACAGCTTCTGAGGAAGGAGGCGGGCGGCGAGAGTCATTGCTCACTATGGCCTCATCTAGTCATCCTTTAAAGATGGCAAAGCGACTCTTGCACTGTATTAGGACTAGATGGATAGAGTTGTATATGGCCCGCTCGACGAGACGGCGGATATTCTGGCGTTCACCCCCCATATTGGCTTCTTTTTTTTTTTCAAAGGCGAACAATATTTTCTCTCACAACAATTCAACCGAAGCAGTGTTTTTTGACCCGGAGCAAGCACATTGAAGTTCGACTTCCTCGGATCGTAGCCGATGCCAAAAATTACCAAATTCCGCCGAGCTAACGGGCAGCAAGGGTTGCTTTGCCAGAATAATTGTTAGATAATCGCTCCTTGTGTGAACACACTCAAGAAAGAGAGAGTTCAGATTTGCCATCTTCTATACAGAGCTCCAGCCAACGCTGGTGTCTTTGCTGTGTGTGTATGCTCTGTTCTCCCTCCCTTCTTCTACCTCTAGCCATTAGTGTGTGGTCGGACAACGTTTGTCGTGGTCGGCAAGACTGGTGAGTGGTCGACTCACCTGAGCCGGTAATCCTGTGGGCCAACAGTTGAGACGGAGCATCCATGCGAATAGGGATAAAAACCGGACAAATATTTTTCGATATCCGTCCGTCGTGAAAGTGTTAGAATCCTACAAACATTGAATATCCGTACCAAATCCGAATACTCAAAATCAGATTTCTAATATGTATATGGGATATATATCAATATCCAATGGGGATAGCAAGTAGGATCACTGATAACTGTCAGTATCCGATCTGATTTCATCCCTGCATGTGAGGAGCAAGAAGATCCCGTGGGGAGGGGAGGGGTAATGGAGTTGTATTGGGCTATGATTTGTTACCACTCAGTCCATCCAAACATAAAAGTAACATAACCCATTTACTCTGAATCGATAACAGGTTGAAAACGTGAAACCAAACAGCCTCTAAATTCAAGTTTTACAACACTATAAATTACGGATAAGTTTTCGAGAACATAATTAAGGCCTTGTTTAGTTGACGATTTTTTTTGGAAAATAGTATTGTAGCATTTTCGTTGTTATTTGATAATTAATGTCCAATCATAGTCTAATTAGGGTTAAAAGATTCGTCTCGTAAATTTCATCTAAACTGTGTAATTAGTTTTATTTTTTATTTATATTTAATGCTTCATGCATGCGTCTAAAGATTCGATGTGATCTTAAATTTTGAAAAAATTTACAAAATTTTGGGAACAGACACCAAGGGAATCTACGACATCATACCTCAGCCACATGTACCCCCCACCATCAAAAAAACACAAAAGAAAAAAAAAAGACAAAATACATAGTGCTGGATCTGCAGGGGCGCGTGCATGGAACACGCATTGATCTTCTCTAGGCCTCGAGGGGCTTGCAGACGATTGTGGCGTGCTTGGCGATCTGGTTGCTGAACTGCCCGGGCTTCTCCGTGGTGTCGATCTTATCCTGGCCCGGCGGCGGCAGCAGCTGGAAGTTCTGCACCCGCCTGCCCAGGGTGATGCCGATGATGGCAGCGCGAGGATGATCCCGGGGCAGCTCCGGCGACCGACGCCGAAGGGCACGAAGCGGAAGTAGTTGCCGTGTGCCTCCACGGACTTCTCCTCGAGGAAGCGCTCGGGCCGGAACACGTCGGGCCGCACCCACCTCTTGGGGTCGTTGGCGAGGAATCAGGCGTTGACGAGGATCTTGGACTCGGCGGGGATGTCGTAGCCGGCGAGCTTGCCGTCGTTGAGGTTCATGTGGGGCACCAGCAGCGGGATGGCCATGCGCAGGCGGAGCGTCTCCTTGACGGTGGCCTGGAGGTAGGGGAGGCGCTCGAGGTCCGGCTCCGTCACAGGCACGCCGGCGCCCAGCACCGAGGCCAGCTCCTCCCGGAGCTTGGACTGGATCGCCGGATGGTTCACCAGCTCCGCGATGCCCCCACTCGATCGACCACAGTGTCGTCTCGATCGCTGCAAAAGTAAAGAAAAGTTTCTTTAGTTCGCTTGCTCCTTACACATTCAAATTCGAGCAAACTTTCTGCTCTTTCTTCTATCATGAATGGATAACGAGCCAGCTCGGCTTGTTAAGCTGACACGTTAAATAAACGAGCTAAAACTCTAGCTTAGCTCACGTTCGTTTGGCTCGTAAGCTGGCTCATTAACTATTATAAAAAATACATAAATTAATAGATACTAATTTATTCTATGTATACACCAAGACAAGTAAATAAATAAGTGTAATACATAGCATACATTAATTCTAGGCTTCAATTCATACATATAATATAAAATTAAGCTTAGTTGCTACTTGATTAGGTTGTCTGAACTACAAACTATTCGGCTTATTTAGCTCGCGAGCTGACTTATAAATGGGCTAAGCCAAGTCGAGTTGAGTTAGGACCGAGCTGAGCTAGCGAGCCGTGAGTTTTTCGTTCGCCCTAATCATAATTGAGCGCCTCTTGTGATTTTGTCAAATCCCAACTAATGGCCAGTGCATAATAGTTTTTCGCACGGGCTGCTGGTGGCAGCTTAGAAAACGCAACCCAAAAAAATTATTGAGGAGTGATCACGTGACGGCGGCTTCAACTATCATTCGATATACCCCTAGGCCTAGCCCCTTTCAAATCTGACACCTTATTATGCCAGCTACGGCCCTGTCTGGTTAGGCCGTGGCTTTTGAAAAAGCAGCCGTGAACTATGACTTTTGAAAAAGCTGTGGATGTGGACTGTGAGAAAAGCCAAAAGTCCTTTGGTTGGGTAGCTGTAGCTTCTGTACAAATTACTAACATACTCTCTCACCTACAGGCGGACCCCACTCGCCAGCCTCACGTACACTTTCTTCAACCTCTAGCAGGCCAACCGTAGGCAGAGCTCTCGCACGCGTCCGCCGGTAGGGCCGCGTCCGCGACGGGGTTGGGGCAGCGTACGCCGGCCGAGGGGCCGCGCGCCACCGGAGCCATGGACGTGGCCGCGCCGCTGCTCGCTGGTGCCAGGGACGTGGCTGCGCCGCTGCTCGCCCGCCGCGCCGGAGGAGCACGTCAGGGCCGCGCCGCTGCTCGCCCGCCGCCGCCGGAGGAGGTCATCGCGAGTTGCGCCATTGGGGCTTTTGACAATGTGGTACAGTAACACATGTGTTAATGATGAATTAATTAGGTTTAATAAATTCGTCTCGCGGAGATTCTGTATTTTGTTTTTTTATTAGTATCCGAACACTCCATACGACACCTCTATGTGACACACCAAAACTTTACACCCTGAATTTAAACAAGGCCTCAATTGAGCAGAGAATGGTTTCTTGATGGAAGAGGAAAGAAGAGTCGAATATATATACGTACCTGCGACGTTGATGTTCTCGACGATGTAGAGGACGTTGTCACGGTTGATCTCGCCTTTCCTCTCGGCCTCGAGGACGTGGGCTCTATTCGGCTATAAAACCGTTTGTGCTGATTTGTTAAAAGAAAAAATACTGTATTATAACTTATAAGCTGGCTTATAATGGCAGCCGAACACTCCCCACGGCGCACCGGATCTCACCGGTCTGAGCCATCACCTTCCTGTATGTGCACGCAGCCATGTTACTGTTAGTTAGATCGGCTTCCCGGCTGAATGAATTGAATCAAGACGGTTCCTACCACCAAGTCAACATGATGGCTAGAATTTCATGGTAATATAGAATTTGGTAAAGTGTATGCCCTCGTGGTCGTGAGTGGGCACGATTGGTTCATGGACCCAACCTAATCTGAGGACAAATAAACTAGTCTATATGATTGGCATGCATGCCATGCTGGGGCCCTTAATTCCAACTAAATGAAGCAGCAAGAGCAAAGTACAAACCAAATGATCCATGTAACCACTTTTTAATAGAGAGACACAGCAGAAGCTTTTACTTGCATATACATGTTGAAGAAAAAAGCCTATCCTTTTCCATCACTCTGTCGCTCTCGTTGTATATGTGTGTGTGGTTGCCCGGATCCTAAGCTTTCGGGCTTGCGCGGAAAGCAAAGCAAGCCACATACATCTAGCGGGGAGAGCCCCATTTTTTTCGTGTGCTAATCTGTCATCAGGAGTCAGGAGGTGAGTGGTGCGGTTCACCTAATCGCCATGCTATTTTCTATCCTCAAACGAAACCTAATCGTCATGCTACTTTCTATCCTCAAACGAAACCTACCCCGCCTTCTTTCTGCTAACCTGTTGTTGTGGACAATGACAGGTTGTTACGTACCCGTGCATTTTTTTTAGTTACGTGTCAAATACAATTGCTCTATGCTAGGCCTAATAATTAATACAAATTCTAACGAGCGTAACCAACGATGACATGATTTGGTCATGTGGTTTGGCCGCTTCCGTTCAAGACTTCACGCAAAAGTCCAACCCGATCTCCAAATTGAATGAGTAGCGCAAATAGACTTGGTTGTTGATTCGTCCTTGTCCACTGGCTGAAACCAAACATATTTTTTTATGCTGCAGACTGATGAGAAGAACCCCCCTTGCTCTTACCATCTCAAACCATATCGTCAGAGACTTAACAAGTTCTTCCCCATTTATACCTCACTCCGTTTTCAGTTATATACATTATCACAGACAATTGGAATGCCGAAACTATATGAATATTAAGTTGCACTGCACTGCGTGTGTTTAGATTGTAGTGAACAACCGTACTTTTCCTAGAATATATATGTCCAGTTTTAGCTAAAGAGAATGAAGAACCCATTTGGAATTAACAACCTGGACATAATTAGTTGTACTCGATTAGCAGCAGTACCTGATGTTTGCTAGAACACAGTGTCCTTCCCCGGCTTTTATCCTTTTAGTTTGTGCTTGAGCGGTTGAGCCTAAAGGCCACTCAATTAAGATGTGCTACATTCTAAATCATCCCTTTTACTTAGAGACAACAACAGCGGCTTCCCAGGACTCCAGCATCCGCCACCATCACAGCAGCCTCCGAAAAAAGAAACTCAACTGCTTTAGTATGCATTTCATTTCACCATGTTATTTTCTATGCAAATAATTGAATAGAAATGTTTGCATTTTCAGCTTTGCGCTTCGTTTTCCATTTTTCCAGTATGCAGGGTGCAACAGCAGGATGGCAGCCACAAAAGCAGCCTCCCAATTTGTTGCTCCACTACAAGTGGCCACACCATATTTCTTGATCCCTACAAAACCGGAGGCTCCTTCTGTAAGATTTTGTAAACTAACATTTTCTGCTATTTTGAGATATATATACTATCATGCCCAGACTAGCAATTTCACGCAGATTAGATTTGCCATCTAAGTTCTAGCATATTTTGTTTTTTCAGATGTTGCAAAAATACTGGTTTTCGATTGTTGGTCATCTTAGCTCATATCTGGATGTGAGTCATCTTAGCTCATGAAATAGAGTTTACAATTTCCTTATGAAATTTGTTTCTGCGTAGCCTTTTTTGTTGACCATATGTTAATGCCAATGATGCTAGAAACAAATATCTTTTTCTGAAAGCCTGACCATATTTCCATGCTATTGCTATTTTACTTTTTTTTCACATGTCAATGGCAAGGATGCCGGAAACAAATATCTTGGAGACCAATGAGATAGTTTCCTTTATCCTCTGCTTCATTTGTTGCAGGCATATGTGTAAACACTATTGTTAGCATGTTCTTGCAGCCCCCCTTCTCCATAAAAGGTATGATGTTGTCTCAGAATAATGGTGCTCCTTTTATAATATAGTTCTTAATTAATTTTAGCTGGAAGAAGGAAGTACCTATTGTTTTTTGCGTCTACCAATACTTGCCTTTTACTTTATTAGTAATCTGTCCTATATTGTTGTTCCAATTTAATGTTCATGCTTTGGTACTCTGTTTTTTTCTTCCCTCTTCCAGAGTCCTTTTGGATTTTGTGACAGGATCAGGTGTTGCGTCGTTGGAGTTTTTTTAGACAACTCAGCTTGATGTCCATTTTGGTAATGGCCCTAAGCTTAGTAGTTAGTCATCCTTATATGAGTATAAATTTTTTTAATTTACTTGCCCAACCATCTAAGGGTCTGATGATCTACACAGGTATCCCATGTGCAGTGGCAATCAGCGACCAGTTGGACCAGGGGAATGTGCACGGAATCGGTTTGCATCTGTACTGATTGGTGGTTGAATTGTAAGGTATTGTTAAATTACAGTCATTATCTATAGCTTTCAGTTTGATTCAAAAAAAATTTGGCCAAATCTATTGTCGTGTTGGTGTGTGAAGAATGGTTCTATTTTCCTGTTGGTGTGTGGCCTAATATTTTTTGGTGACCCAAAAGTTTTGCAAGATGTGTAAATTACTATTGTATATGCTAGGAATTCTTGACAATATATGGTTACCATGGGCTATAAGAAATCTATGCATGCTAAGATTCTTTGGAAGCGTAATCTGATCTAATCTTTAGTTTTTTCCTAGCAGCAGTCAGCAATGATGCACCTACACATTGTGTGATGCTGTTATATGAATTGCTTTGTCAAAAAATGCAACTGTGCATCCTCCTGTTTAGTTCGTTATTTCTGTCTTACAGATACATTCTGCATCTTCCTATCTAGCGTGTGGCTTCAAGAGTTTATATCCTTTGTTTGAAAATAATCTGGTCTGCTTCAGTTCATAGCTTATTTTGCTGTTCATAACTTATTTTCATTTTTGCATCGTGTATTCCATTGCGATATTGAAAATTCCAATTTTGACCGCCGTAATGCTATTCTGCAATTTGCAACGAGATTTAGTTATGTAACTATGTATTTGAGCTGTCAACTTTATTTAATCCGACATGGACAATGACGATGAAATATTTTGAACTTGATTAGAGGTTATTGGTTTATTGGATGCCTTCCCTTTCTACTCCCCCTTTAATCAGACTATGGATAAATGTAAAAAAAATGGGAAAAACATGCCTCTTGGGTTTGAGATTTCCCCGCATAGGTTGTTTTGTTACAAATGCCCAGCACTGCTTAGCTTTGTTGAAAAAACCACCCATCACAGTATAGTGCCTTATGTATTTAGGATCATATGTTCTGCTCTCTTGATTTCTATCTTATTAACAACCGACGTGGTCAACAAAAGAAATTTAGGGAAGGGGGATGTCAAGGTTAAAGATATATCCAGTGGTTGCATTTCCTTTTGTAGTTATTAAGTCTAGCTGACATCGAAATGTTCTTTGCTCCTGTGATTTCCATCCATTCTCTCTTATTATTGTTGCAGGCACACAACCTAAACCCTGTTGACTGCCCCTCTATTTTCCTTACGTGCATTCAATCAGATAGCAAGGCTTTGTTTAGTTCCCGGATTTGGGAGTGGCCAAATAATTAATGTGTTACTGTAGCGTTTCGTTTGTATTTGTGAATTATTGTCCAAACATTGACTAATTAGGCTCAAAAAGATTCGATTTAGTAAAGGGGATGTACAACAAAGATATGTGCAATTAGTTTTTGATTTTGCTTTCAATAGTTATTATATATTGACATCGAAATGTTCTTGCTCCTGTGATTTCCATCCATTTTGATGATTATTGAAATATCTTCTTTTTATCATGAGTGCATTTTTCAGGAGTTTAGTGGGAACTAAACATGGCCCAAGTAAGAGGTGAAAAAGGGTTCAGCGTGCATTCAAACTGAATGGACAGGTGAAGAGCTTGACACTGAAATGCTTCTAAACTGTTTTTTTTATTCATTTCGGTTACCTATTGATGAAGATAGCGGTTAGCACAACTCAGGTTTCATGCGATCTGTGAACTGTGATGGATACAGAGTTACAGACCATTTATTTTCAGTTTCGTTTGTCAGTACCGGAGATGCAGGTTGCTTTCAATTTTGCTTTCCCCTTACTTCACTTATAGTCCTTGTACGGCCTTGGTTGCTTTTTCTCTCCTATTTGCGGCTTCCCACTGCTGATTTCACAGATGAATATGCAAAGCATACCATGCTGCTGTTTATCATGATTATACCTTTATGTTCGGTCTTAACT